CAGCTTCCCGAGTAGCTGGGACTACAGGCGCCCACCACCACGCCCGGCTAATCTTTTGTACTTTTAGTAAAGACGGGGTTTCACTATGTTGGCCAGGATGGTCTCAATCTCTTGACATTGTGATCCGCCTGCCTCGCCCTCCCAAAGTGCTGGGATTACAGATTTGAGCCACAGCGCCCGGCCAGGCTTTCTGCTTCTTTGGATTTAAGATTCCCTTTCTTGGCCCCCATTCAATTTGGCTGAGGTCAGAGAAAAGGGATCCGTAGGGGCGCTACTCACCCACAGCTTGGTAGTAAGCCAGGAAGCCCTTGTAGAACATGATAGTCCCATTCTCCTCGTTGGAGAAGTCTGTGTGGAAGGTCAGCAGCATCTTGTTCCCTTGCGACATAAATTCCTTCTTTCCCGGGGGGTTGCCCAGTGGAGAACCCAGTTGCCCGCAGAACCTCCCCAGGTTTTTCTTATCAGCAGAGATCTGGTGGAGGAAGGACAGGGGTAGAAGAAGACCTGTTTCGGAGTGGAGCCATGTGGTGGCTCAGTGACGGACCTCCCTGTCTTGAATTTTTAGGGCCTGCAGAGTAAATCATGCACCACAAGGCTCCAACTTGGTCACTACCTGCTGGGGTCGGCTGCTGCAACCTTCCCCACGTGACTTTCAACTGTTCCCTGAGTCTCCCACTGACTCACTTTTGGCATGTTGTCCTGCACTGGGTACCTCACCCCTTCCCTGTTTTCTGCTCCTCTGGCAGGTTTCAGGTCCTTCTCCATCCCTACCACCTCCTGTGGCCTGTTTGTCTCTACCCAGCCTTTACCTCCCCTCCCCTCATTGCCAGAGCCTGGAGAGCTCTGCTTTTTTTTTTTTCTGTTTTCCAATTCTCCCTCGGCCTAATCAAACCATTCATACTTCAAGTGCTTTCTGACGCCCTCGGCTGAACACGAGCCCTGAAGCCCACCAGTCTCAGCATCAGCATGTATCGCCTAGTCCCTCATCTTTCCTCCTCACAGCCGCCTCAACCTCTCCCTGCCCTGCCACCAAACACCCTCCCCCAACACTGCACATGGGCCGAGTCCTCTTGGCGGGGAAGACGTGCCATTTCCCATTATTTGTGCGTAAATTCCAGAGATCTCCTGTGAATGCTTTGGACCTTCACAGTTATTGGACCTTCGCAGGCTCTTCTTGAGCCCTGAATCTCATTTTTACTGGATATAGAAAGACGGGTCCTGGAAGGTACCCTTGGTTGTCACAGAGGTGAGGGTTCTGTGCGCGATGTCCTTGCTGAAGGCTACTCCTGGGCTACCAGAGCACACATTTCTCCTCCTCATGTCCCTGTGTTCCTGTTGAGGCAGGCAGCCACGGTGATCTTCTCCTTGAAGACAAGGGAGCTGAGGCACAGTGGTTTCCCAAAGACTCTCAGCTGAACAGCAGATGGGGAAGGTTTTCCTGACTCCGTGGACAGTGAATTTCCTGAGTGGGTCCTGTCCCTCTCTTCTCTGTGCTTCTCCCTTCAGTGCTCACCTCTACACCAGTGGGTGTCGCACCCAGGGCCCCTGGCTCTCAGAGATGCAGTGAGCCACCAGCTCTTGCAGGGCTGGGCTATGTCTGGGGGTGTGCATGCCATGCAGGGCAACCCCAGATCTCAGAGAGCCCCGCTTTGTCTCGCCTCTGCCCACCCACCCTGCCCCTACCTTGACATAGTCATAGAAGCAGCCTTCGGAAGGCTCCAGGTCAAACTGCCAGAAGACGAGCTTCACCCTGTATCCCGTGGGGACTGTGATCACAGTGGTCGTTTCAAAGTTGCTGGGGTAAGGCTTGGGGAACAGAGGGGAAGTCACCTCCCCAAAGAACTTCTGAGGGATGTGAATGGAGCCTCCTGCCCTGCAGAACAGGGCCGGCACCAGGAGGAACAAGAGCCACCTGCCGAAACAGAAGAGAGAGTCTGGAGTTGGAGGGGTTCAGCACGCTTGCCATGTGGGTAGTGGCCGTGGCAGGGGATGAGATGGCCGTACTGCTGGGCATTCTCCTCTCTGCCCATTCTGGACCTCACGGGCATGTTCTCTGCAGGGGCAGGTGGTGGGGGGAGGGCAGCCTCTGCAGCTGCTGCATCCGTGTCCCTCCCCAGGGCAGTGTCCAGTCCAGAGGCCACCACACTCCCCTCATACTCCCTCCCCAGCCTCCTCCCCTGCCTGGCCACATCCCTTCCCTCCCCTTCCAGGAACAGGACTGGCTTGAGGCCAGTTAATGAGGGGCGAGGGTTTCCAGTCATGGCTCTCTGAAAGGGGTCCCAAAGGCTCAGTAAAAGTGTCTGGGAGAAACCATCGGTGGAGTGTGGGATACATGCACAGAGGGTCCCCTCCTGGGTAGGGGGTCCCCTCCTCTCGATGCTCCCTGCTGTGAGCCCAGAGGGAAGAAAGGACCATGGCATGAGCCTCTATGTACAAGGTCTCTCTCTTCTGGTCGTTAGGAGGAGGGATGGGTCATGCTTGGTGTGTGTCCACGCGTGTGCACAGTGGGACTGATGAGGTGTGTAGGGAGGGCAGGGTGTTCCTGTCTCCCTGAATTGCCTCCCATGCCCTGGCTTTTCCCCTGGCTTCTCCTTCCCACATGGGTGCCCATCACCCTTACTCACATTTCTCAAGGCCGGTGTTGAGTCCTGGGCTCTTCTGACAGCCTCTTCATGCACTGTGTGCAGAGGAAGGCCGCGGTCATGCACAGCAGGGATGGGAGGGTTTTCTGTGGAGTGGAGGGGGGACCATTCCCGGAGGAATGCTGGAGGGAATGAACTATTTGCATAAACAAAATATCTGAGTTTCCACTTTAATTTAGTTTTGGTTTTGAAATCCCTGTTGGTGGTGCCACCTGCTGGTCTATATGGGGAAGGGCTAACGAGATGGGAGTCTGAATATTTTTTTTTTTCGACACGGCGTTTCGCTCTTGTTACCCAGGCTGGAGTGCAACGGCGCGATCTCGGCTCACCGCAAGCTCCGCCTCCTGGGTTCAGGCAATTCTCCTGCCTAAGCCTCCCGAGTAGCTGGGACTACAGGCACGCGCCACCATGCCGAGCTATTTTTTTGTATTTTTAGTAGAGATGGTGTTTCACCATGTTGACCAGGATGGTCTCGATCTCTTGACCTCGTGATCCACCTGCCTTGGTCTCCCAAAGTGGGAGTCTGAATTTTTAGGGCCGGGTAGCTCGGGGTTGGAGGCCCAGACTCCTCAGTCTCTAAATCTGATCAGCTTCTCCTTTCTTTCAAGACTTTCCTTGGGGAGGGCAGCTGCTGTGTTTACAAGGTTCCTACCCAAGCAGTGGGAGACCACAGGTTGTGGAGGATTCTCTTTTCTGGACTCTCCTTCCCCTCTGTCCCCCCCATTCTTCCTGCCCTCATTCAGCCCGCAGCCCTGGTCCAAGAATGGCTCTGGTTTCCCTGCCCAGGAGGAAGCCACAGGAACACTGGGGCAGAGGAGGGTATGTGGGAGTGGGCAGAGGAGAGTGGAGCTTGGTTGCCTTGGGGCCCTGGCCTGCTTTAGCCATGAATGACACTTGGACATAGAATAGGGATGGCCACGTCAGGGCAACCCTAAAGCAGCCTTGGGTTTGGGACCCTCTGGGGCAGCTGTGGAGGGAGTAAAATGTCCCCTTCTCCTCAGCATCTGCTCAACACAACTGCCAGGGCTGAGGCTCTGGAGCAAGAGGGACTTGTTTTTTCTGAGATGAAGCCAGGCTCCTGGGAGGGAGGAGGGGCCCTCTTCGCTTCTGTCCATCAGGCCATAGTGTCCTGCTTTAAAATTGTGCTCTTGGCCGGGTGTGGTGGCTCATGCCTGTGATCCTGGCACTTTGTGAGGCCAGGGTGGGAAGATCTCTTGAGCCTTGGAATTCGAGACCAGCTTGGGCAACATAGTGAGACCTCATCTTTAAACATTAAAATAAATAAAAAACAATTTCACTGTTTTTTGCAGCCTTTCTTCATCAAGTCTCCATGGCACCAAATATCTGATGGCACTTCATCACATAGTGGGGCTTGGGCCGCAGAGCAGGCCTCTGTGTTCTTAAGTCTTTGTAAGTGGTTCTGCTTGTTTCCCTCATGAGATTAATCCCTCATTAATCCCCCACCCCCATTCATCCGTTTATGGGCTACCCATTTAATGTGCAAGGCCCTTTCCCAGGCAATAGATCGCAAGAATTCACAGAGCTGATGCAGTTCCCCATCAGGCAGTGACCAAGTAATCAGTAGTTAGACAGCAGGCACACAGAAGGTGCAAGATCAACGCTTGGAGGGTTTCTCTGGCAGGCCTGTGTGTCAGAGCTGAGGACTGAACCTGATGGAGGGCTGATCTGTGACCAAATCAGGATAGGATCCATAGCCTTGTTAGGTCAGAAAAGACAAACGATAGTGGAGAACGAAAAGGACCCGATGAGGGGACGAGAAGGAAGAGGAATCCCGTCTAGCAAACTGCACATTAATACCCTAACAGCAGTGTGTGTGTGTGTGTGTGCATGTGTGTGTGCGCACGCACACACTATATGTTCGTAATGGGGGCAGAGGGAACAGGGAAGGAGGTGGTCTCAGCTGAAGCTACCATCCTAGGGATTCTCAGTTCTGACTTGGCATTGTGCAACAATGCTTGGAGCACAGCAAACCTGGACGTCATTAGCTCAGTCCCAGCCCTGTCTCCACTCTGCCCAACCATTGAAAATAACCTTTACTCACACATTTTTGTTATGTCCTTGACTTATAAAAGAAGGAAAAAAATGCCATATGGATGTTGCTGCATTTGTTTTAAAACAAGTATTGAGGACATTGTCTGTTACAATGTTTGTTCCTTTTAGGATTTGATTATCGGGGAAAAAAAAGTTTCTCTCTTAAAGTAGCTCATCTGTCTCTATCAGCTCTATCTCTAACCTGCCTCTACCTCTCTATCTCCAGCTCCTAGTCTGTTCTCTATCTCTAGACCTAGAGATGGTGGAGAAGATGTAGAGCTACACATCTAGACACACATGTATAAATATAGGTGTATATATATATTTTTTTGCCTTGGCAGGGAGAAACTCATCATTCTTTCAATCATAAAAAAAGTAAAATAGAATAAGAATGTTTCATGCTCATTAAACAATATTTAGCAAATAGAGAATAGTGGAAAACCAAACAGCCAAAATCTTATCAACTAAAACTACCTCTGTTGAGTATTTTGAGAGTATTATTATTACATTTTTGGCGATGGGGTTTCACTATGTTGCTTAGGTTGGCCTTGAACTCCTGGGCTCAAACGATCTTCCTGTATCAGCCTCCTGAGTGCTTGGGACTATAGGTGTGCATCACTGTACCCACCTTTTGGGAATATCTTTAATAATCTTTTGTACTGTGTGTAGGTGTAAAAAACAGAAGTGACCACGTGTAGGTACAACTTTGAATCCTGCTATTTTTTTTTAGATATAAATTTAACCTGTGACCATACAGCAACTTGACTCTTGATGCTAACAAATTATCTCTCTTCCCTCTTTTATGGTATTTATTTTCTATTTCCATTGAACAGTTGTATGTTATTTGTGTCTTTCACTGTAAATCACCTCCAATCTTTTTTTTTTTTTTTTTTAGATGGAGTCTTGCTCTGTCACCAGGCTGGAGTAGCTCACTGCAACCTCCGCCTCCTGGGTTCAAGCAATTCTCCTGCCTCAGCCTCCCGAGTAGCTGAAACTACAGGTGTGCACTACCATGCCCAGCTAATTTTTGTATTTTTAATAGATACAGGGTTTCACCATGTTGGCCAGGATGGTCTTGATCTCATGACCTTGTGATTTGCCCGCTTTGGCCTCCCAAAGTGCTGGGATTACAGATGTGAGCCACCGCGCCCGGCCCATCACCTCCAATCAGTCTGTACTAAAAATAAAAGAGTTGGTCCTCTCAGGTGGAATAGTTCTCTTGATGATGGGGGCACAGGTGGGGTGTCCGCAGGAACTTCAGTCCAGTGCTGGGCTCACCTGGCTTCTGCAGGAGATGGGGCTAGCAGGAAAGTGTGAGCCAGAGGATGCCATTTTTACAGAAGAAGAAATTCCCAGGGAGGGACAATGGTAAGGATGTGGGGACTGGGAGGGACAATGGTAAGGATGTGGGGACTGGGAGGGACAATGGTAAGGATGTGGGGACTGGGAGGGAAAGTGGGTGGCACAGCAGATCTGAGGAGAGTTGAGGAGTATGGCGGCACACTGGGAAGAGCAGCCTCTGCAGTCACACACCAGCTGTGGGACCTGGGCAAGTCCCTTTATCCCCAGAGCCTCAGTTTCCTCATTTGTCGAGCATGGCTAATAACACCTCCTTTGCCAATATGGTATGAGGATCAAGTGAAATAACAGGTGAAGCATCTGGCATATAGAGGACACAAAATTTAAAAAGGAGCTATTTCTGTAATTGCATCTTGGAGCTGTGGAAGGTGGTGAAGCCAATAGCTTGAATATTTGAAGGTCAACTAAAGGGTCTTAGGAATGTTTCAGAAATAAAATGCAATGAAAACCTCTTTCTCCATACTCAGCAGGCGAGATGGTAACTCTTCCAGAGGTGAGTATAAAGGCTGTGTCAACAGATGAAGCAGGGGAAGGGGATTCCAAGGACATTGAAGGTGAAAGTTGCTGAGATGCACAGGGCTTCCCTGGGCATAGTGCAAGTGGACAGGGAGGTAGAGGGTGAGGAGCAGCGGTCTGTGGGACTGTGCTTCCTGTCCGGATGGTGCAGCCTTGCAGGGTGTGGGTTTCTCCTGCATAGTGGCTTGCTGCATCAGTGATGCGAATAGGATTTCCCTGCCTCCCGCCACATCCTGCCCCTGCCCCAAAATTCAGTCCTCACTCCTGGCCCTCTCTTGACTGGGGCCTCCACTGTGCTGGCCAGTCCCTGCTCAAGTGCCCCATGGTCAGTTCTTGCCATTCATCACCCCCTTGATCCAGTCCACGTAGCTGAGCACTTTGGTGTAGAAGTCGTACCCCTTGCCACATCCTATGCCCCAGGACACAATGCCTGTGGCCACCCAGTGATGGGCACGATCATCCCATACCACATAGACGCTGCCACTGTCCCCCTGACAGACACTGTGCCTCTGCATCTCATCCCCAACACAGAACATACTGTTAGAAAACACCTCGGGCCTCTGTCTCTTTTGGAGCCAGGCCTTGCAGGCCTCTCTGGGAGCTACAGGCAGCCTTGAATATTTCAGCTCAGTAGTTAGCCAGCCCATCTCCATGCCGAACCCACTGACATAGCCCAACAATCCGCTGTGGTAGAGGGTCTCATTGTCAGGAAGACAGACTGGGAGGATGTTGGGGCCCAGCGGGATGCTGTGCTGCAGCTCCAGGAGGGCGATGTCCCCATTGAAGTTGTGGGACTCATTCTGATGGTAGTCGGGGTGCACAATGACACGGTAGACGGGGTGGTTCCCCAGTTTCAGCATCTCATCTATGGATGTGTGGCCCAGGAACACATTCACACTCTGGTTCTTCCTGGGAGAAACACTGTCCTTGGGGTAGATGGTGTGGGCAGCAGTGAGGATCCATCTGTCGCCCAGCAGGGCCCCGCCCCCACGGCCATGGATACTGGTGAATGCTTGCCAGGGGAAGTTGCCCAGCTTAGCTTTGGAAGAACCGAGGGTTGTCTGATTCTGGTCAATGGGGGTGACTGGCCGTCCACAGACTGGGAGAGAGGAGGGTTAGGGGTGACAGTCAGCAGCTGCGTCTAGGCACACTGATTAAAGACCTACTTCTCTGAAGCTGTGGTAGAGGATGCGTGAAGAGGCTCCAGGTCTGGCTCTGCATGGGATCAGGACTCTTTTTTTTTGAAACTGAATCTCGCTGTTGTTGCCCAGACTAAAGTACAGTGGTGCGATCTCAGCTCACTGCAACCTCTGCCTCCCGGGCTTAAGCGATTCTCCTGCCTCAGCCTCCTGAGTAGCTGGAGATTACAGGCACCCACCACCATGCTTGGCTAATTTTTTTTGTATTTTTAGTAGAGACAGGGTTTCACTATGTTGGCCAGACTGGTCTCAAACTCCTGACCTCAGGTGATCCACCCACCTCGGCCTCCCAAGGTGCTGGGTTTACAGGTGTGAGCCACCGCACCTGGGTGGGATCAGGACTCTTATACTGGGGCCGACTCACAGTGTAGACCATGTGGGAACACAAGGGCAAGGAATCAATGCCAACTGTATGGGGCACCCATCCTGCATGGCACTCAGGACAGTGGACTGAGGGTAGAGAGCACAGATGAGCACATGTTTGGTGCTGGTTCTGCAGGGCTCTCCTTCCTGCCTCCTCAGAGGCATTAAAGCGGTTCCTTGGGACCACCCTGGGCCCCATACTACAGGCAGAGTCTGTTTCAGTGCTTCCTGCCTAGTTTTGTGTTACTTCCTCATTTGTAACATCTCCCACTACCATCTGCCTTCCAACCCATCCCTAAAGCACTACGAGCCTTCAGGCGAATCCTAGAGTTTTCCATGGATCAGGTTGGGTTAGGAAGGCAATGGTTTCACTCAAAAGTGTGGATCTAAAAAACGGTGGAATTGAACCCTCCCGTATTGCTGGTGAGATGAAAAATGGTAAAATGGTGCTGCCACTGTTGAAGACAGTTTGGTGGTTCCTCAAAAAGTTAAACAGAATTATTACACAATTCAGCAAGTCTACTCCTAGGTATATACCCAAGAGATTTGGAAGCGTATGTTGATACAAAAACTTGTGCACTAATGCTCATAGCAGCATCATTTGTAATCACCAAGAAGAAGAAACAGCCTAAATGTCCATCATTGATGAATGGACAAACAAAACGGTACATCCATAGAAAGGAATATTATTTAGCCGTAAAAATGATACTTCAGCTTGTTGGTCTCTTTCTCCTTTCCTAGTCCACCTCATTAACTTCCTTCATGCTTTCCTCAGATATATCTTGACCCTTGAAGAATGAGGAACAAGCTCCCTGCCTCTTCTTTTCTGGGCCTTCTTGATCACCCTGTTCTTCCTCACCTTCTGCTTCTTATCTTCCTTTCTATTCTAAGGCTTTCCTTGAACCCGTGTGTCCTGTAGGTCCCAGTTGCAGCTGAGGCTTGTTGGGGGAATGGTGCAGGCAGGTGAGTGTACTACTCACCAGGCGTACACTGAAGAACCTCCTCCCCATCCTGTGTGTTCTTCCAGGTCCCCGGGGTGGTGCAGCCGAGTGCCCCTGAGACGCAAAATGAGGAGAGGCAAAGAAATAACTCAGAGTTGAAGCTGTTGGTTAACAAAGCAGGTGCTCAGAGGGCGTTTGCGTGGGAGTGAGGGGGATGGAAGCTACGCCTCAGCAGGTGGGGCTCACCTGCTGCCGTGGCCTGATAGTAGGGCTCCTGGCAGTGGTTCGGGACCTTGGCGGGGTTGTCTCCAGGTGTGTTGATGGCTTCAGAACTCCTGCTGGCCTGGCTGACGGGCTGACTACAGTTCACAGCTATAGGAAAACAGCACCCAAGCGCAGACTTGCAAAATGGCAACTGGGGGCTGATTCTGGCCCATGGCTATATTTGGTTTGAATTGCACAGTGTTTTTTTTTTAACATTGGAGTTAATTTTCACTGATCAGATTGTCAACAGTCAAAGAGTTTGAAGGTAACTGTGACAAGCAGGGTATGGGAAACAGGCACTTCCAAACACGGTTGGTAGGTGTGTAAATTAGCAAAACATTTTTGGAGAAAATTTTAGCAATATCAAAATTTTAAATGCAAATTTTTTTAGATGTTTTGCTCTTGTTGCCCAGGCTGGAGTGCAGTGGCACGATCTTGGCTCACTACAACCTCCGCCTCCCAGGTTCAAGCAATTCTCCTGCCTCAGTCTCCCGAGTAGCTGGGATTACAGGCACCCATCACCACACCCGGCTAATTTTATATTTTTAGTAGAGATGGGGTTTCACCATGTTGGACAGGCTGGTTTCAAACTCCTGACCTCAAGTTATTCACCCACCTTGGCCTTCCAAAGTGCTAGGATTACAGGTGTGAGCCACTGCGCCCAGCCGAAAATGCAAATATTTTTTAACTTACTACTCCATTTCTAAAAATTTAGCCTAAAGATATTCTCACACATGTGCTCAAAGATGTAAGTGCAAGGGTATGCACAGGAGCACCGTGTGTGGCAGCAAAGTATTTATCAGGAGGGCTGATCAAATACATTATGAAACATCAATCAAAGGGATTTTATATGATCATTAAAAATAATGAGTTTGCCGGGTGCGGTAGCTCACACCTGTAATCCCAGCACTTTGGGAGGCCGAGGCAGGCAGATCACCTGAGGTCAAGAGTTTAAAACCAGCCTGGCCAACATGGAAAAACCACGTCTTTACCAAAAATGCAAAAATTAGCCAGGTGTGGCGGCATGCCTATAATCTCAGCTTCTCAGGAGGCTGAGGTAAGAGAATTGCTTGAACCCAGGAGGTGGAGGTTGCCGTGAGCAGAGACTGAGCCACTGAATGCCAGCCTGGGTGACAGAGCGAGACTCAGTCTCAAATAATAATAATAATAAGTCAATGCTGACCATATGAAATGGGATGATCTTTAAGATATATTATTCAGTGAAAAAATGCCAAGTTTAGAACACTTGCAATACAGACACACACAATTTATCCTCTTCCTAGGCAGAATACCTAGGAAATGGAGAACACAGTTGTTTCTGGGGAGGGCAGTCAGGAGTTCAGAGCCAGAGACCAGAGGATGATTTACTTTTTAGCATACTAAAAAATGATATGTTATCATTTACCCCTCCCTCCCTCTGTCCTTTCTTCCCTCCCTCCCTCCCTCCCTCCTTCACTCCCTCCCTCCTTCACTCCCTCCCTCCCTCCTTCCCCCTCCTTCCCTCCTTCCTTTCCTGCCTTCGTTTTTTCCTTCCCTACCTTCTTTCTTTTCCTTTTTTCTTCTTCCTTTCTTGCCTTCCTTCCATCCTTCTCTTTTTTCCCCTCCCTCTCTCCCTCCCTTCCTTCCTTCCCTCTCCCTCCCTCCCTCCCTCCCTTCCCTTCCTTCCCTCCCTCTCTCCCTCCCTTCCTCTCTCTTTCCTCTTTCTTTCTTCTTGTCTCACTTTGTCACTCAGGCTGGAGTGCAGTGGCATGATTATGGCTGACTGCAGCCTCAAACTCCCTGGCTCAAGCAATCCTTCCCCTCAGCTCCCCTAGTAGCTGGGACTACAGGTGTGCACTACCACACCTAGCAAATTTTGTGGAAACAGGGTCTCACTATGTTGCCCATGCTGGTCTCCAACTACTGGCCTCAAGTGATCTTCTAGCCTTGGCCTCCCAAAGTGCTGGGATTACAGGCACGAACCACTGCATCCAGTCAGTATTCATCTTTCAAAAACAAATCTGAGTCATCATTTGAAAATATATAATTTCACTTAAAAATCTGGATGTTTGGCATCTCTTTTAAAATGAGATGATCTGCAAACACTGGGCCTGTATATCTGCTGTGGAAGTAACTGCTGGGGCTGAGCAATGGCTGTCTCTCTCTCTTTTTTTAAGAGACGGGGTCTCGCTATGTTGCCCAGTGGCTATTCACAGGCGCCATCCCACTACTGATCAGCACAGGAGTTTTGACCTGCTCCGTTTCCGACCTGGGCCGGTTCACCCCTCCTTAGGCAACCTGGTGGTCCCCTGCTCCCGGGAGGTCACCATATTGAGGGCGAACTTAGTGCAGACACCTGATCGCCATAGCACACTACAGCCCAGAACTCTTGGGCTCAAGAGATCCTCCAGCCTCAGCCTCCCGAGTAGCTGGAACTACAGGCACGTGCCACCATTCCCGACATGGCTGTTTCTTAATAGGGTTGCTCACCAGCAGGGGCAGGGCTGGGGTCCAGCCCAGGTGTCTCTGAGTCCCCAGCCTCAGCTGTCACTCAAGCTTCCTCTTAAGGCTTGAAGATACCAGGGTCATGGCTGGGGACAGAGGCTCCATCCCTGAACCCCCAGGAGAGACACTCACCCACAGCTTGGTAGAGGGCCAGGAAGCCCTTGTGGAGGTGGGCAGTCTTGTTCTCCGAGGAAGGCTGTGTGCGGAAGGTCAGCCGCAAACTCCTCCCTGAGGATACAAACTCCCTCTGACCAGGGGGCCTCCCCAGAGGTGAGCCCTGCTGACCACAGAACTGGCTTGGATCCAACCCGCTGGCTGAGATCTGAAAGCGGGAGGGGGGCAAGGCTGCAGACAGGCGTGGTGTGCATCTGCGCTGCTGGTGTCACAGGGGCACGTGCCCCTCTGGGGCTCAGAAGGCACCTCACAGAGGCTTCCTCAACTAGCTTCTGCTTCCATTTTCGACTCCCGAGTTTCTTCCAGACATAACCACATACTACAATGTTTCTTGAACCTACTATAATTACTTAAAAAACCCACTATATTTTCCTTCTTTTAAGAAGTTCCTTGGGAATTCTCGGGTTCCCATAAGAGTCGCTGGACTACAAATTGTAAGAAGGCAAGGACTACTTCTGTCTTTCTCACCACTGAGTTCCTGGTGCTCAGAGTATTACCTATAACACCACCGCTTTGACTCAATGAACGCAGGCATAAGCCCCTCCCATCCAGCGCCTCCTCCATCTCCAAGCCCCGCCCCATCACCTTCCGCTTCTCTGAATAACTTTCCTCTGAATAACTTTCCGTGGCCAACATCTGTGAAGCAGTAAGATTCTCCGCAGAGACTGAGCCTCTGGGGTTCCTGCCTTTTCCTGCTTTCCTTCTTTTGGGGTGCCCCTCCTCTTATCCCATGAACTTTGTAAACGAAGCCCTGAAACGTATGAAAACCTAAGGACACAGGTATCCACAGTCCAGGTACGCTGGGTAATGTCGTTTAAGCTGGTAAGTTCTTAGGCAGGTTGTCTCTTTCAATGCCCTTTTGGCTGTCTCACCTCTGCTCAAATCCCTTCCTGTGGGTTCCTTATGTCAAAGAAGGGGAGGCTTGGAGGGAGTTCCTGGGCCGTGCTTCCTGCGTTATCTCTGTTCCAGGCACACTGCTCACTGCTTGGCTCATTTTATTTCTGGCTTTCATACTGATCCACATATCCTGGGTTTTCGCTAGCTCTCCATTCCCTCATTCTCCACAAATTCCAAATTCATTCAAGACTCCACCCAGACCCTGTCATTATGATCACAGAAACTGGGTAAAAGTTGCAATGAAGAAAATTTCTCAATCACCCCAAATGCCTTGCTCAGCAAACTAAAAAGCAAAACAAAAACAAACACCACCCCCCAAAAAAACTCCATGCAATGATTGACTCCTGGGAAACCCAAATGTTGGAGAAGAAAGAAAATATAATTATCATATGCCATGGGCTCAGATGCGAACATTTTACAGTTATAATAATGTAAATAATAAAGATTTAACTAAAAATGATATAATATAGGTAAACTGGCAGAATGGGGAAGGGAAATGTGGGTGGTGAAGACTGACAGATAAAGCTAGTCCTTATCTTCTATACTGTAGTTGGATGTTAATAGAAAACATGTAAAAATGAAAGATAAATGAGCATGTTACTTACACATATGAAGTTAAAGAGCAGAAGAAACAGCTACGTGAATTGGAAAAAGACTGCTCCTGAGGAGCAGCACTCAGGGGTGTGGAGGAGCAGAGTCTCACTGTGTCACCCAGGCTGGAGTACAGTGTCATAATTAGAGCTCATCGCCTCCTCTACCTCCCAGGCTCAAGTGATCCTCTCACTTCAGTGTCCCTTATAGCAGGGACCACGGGTGTGTGCCACCACACTTGGCTAATTTTTAAATGTTTTGGTAGAGATGGGGTCTTGCTATGTTCCTTAGGCTGGACTTGAACTCCTGGGCTCCAGCCCTTTGTCTCCTGAGTAGCTGGGACTACGGGCCTGCATCACTACATCGAGTACTGTTTTTAAAATGTCCTTATTCTGAATAAGGCTTTGGCCTTGGAAGGTTTGTGACAGCTCTTCTAAGGTAAGTGCGAATGGTGACTTAATCTTTTGTTACTATTTGTGCCCAGCTTCCTCACATGACAGAGCAGGCACTCAACAAATACATGATTTTTTTTTTTTGAGACGCTGTTTCACTCTTTTTGCACAGGCTGGAGTGCAATGGCCTGATCTCGGCTCTCCACAACCTCCGCCTCCTGCATTCAAGTGATTCTCCTGCCTCAGTCTGTGGAGTAGCTGGGATTACAGGCATGCTCCACCACACTCAGCTAATTTTGTATTTTTAGTAGAGATGGGGTTTCTCTATGTTAGTCAGGCTGGTCTTGAACTCCTGACCTCATAATCTGCCCGCCTTGACCTCCCAAAGTGCTGGGATTACAGGTGTGAGCCACCGCACCCCACCATGATGACACAATTTTAACAACCCATGTGAGAGTCCCTGCCCTGGCTCCGTAGATTTGCAAGATTTGTGTGTCCCTTCATGAGTCTTCCATATGCAGGGCCTGCCTGCTGCCCTCTTTGCTCTGTGGGGCCCAGATGGTCCTAGAGGCGCTGGTGGGAGACCGTGTCCTGGGGCCCACCATTAGCTCCCCGGGTAAGCCGAGCCCCACTGTCCCTAAATGGAAAATTCATCCCTCCTCCAGATGGGTGATTCAGGGCACCGCCACTTCCCACAACCCCAGGAGTCTCCCTGGCCACAGTCCTGGCGGAACCCGCCCCCCCCCATCCCCAGCTCACTGTGACAGAGTCCCCTGCACAGTCCTGGGACGGCTCCAGGTCGAAGTCTTGGAAGACGAGCCTCACAGCAAAGCCCTCTGGAGCCTGGATGTCCGCGGTGCTCTCTTGGCCTTTGTGATACGGCTCTGGGTACCCAGGAGAAGTCAGCTGCTGGGGTAGCTGCTGGGCCAAGAGGACGGAGCCCCGGGTGGGGCAAGCCTGGAGGACTCCCCAGAGGAGCAGCCACCACCTGGGAGGCGGGGAGGGCAAGGTGGGGCCCGCAGCGAGGGCCAGAAGCCTGTGGGGGTGGGAGGAGCCGGTAGCCGCGCCAGGACTGAGGGGCCTGGGAAGGAAGGGCCAGAAGCGGTGCCTGGAGGTCCGGGTACCTCTGTCTCCTCCCTTGTTCCCCTTTCTCACCCCAATCCCTACGGCCTCCCGTGCAGCCTGAGCTCTAGGACTGTGGGTTTTCAGTCCTCCGTCCTCCCTCCTCCGAAGGCATCACCTTTGCTCATCTCCCAGGAGAGTCTCATCCAAAGGAGGGGGCTGCTTTCTGCTTATGCAGACTCACCCCACCCGCGATCCGAGGGAGCAATGGCGGGGCGAGTGAGGGTCCCCCGCAAATATGCCCCGACCATCCCCACCCCAGGGAAGGTGCTAGAGTCCACAGGCAAATTCCAGTTTCCCCATGGAATATCTGCTGTGCTGTTGGTGGTGGTGGTGTTTGTGTACGTGTGAGCGTGTGTGTGTTGCATGTGTACGTGTGTGTGCAAGTGTTTATGTGTGTAGGTGGGGTATGTATGGTATGTGTACATGTATGTGTGGTGTTTGTGTATGTGTGGTGTGTATATGTATGTGTGTGGGATGTGTGTGGTGTGTATTTACGTGTGGTGTGTGTGTGGGGTATGTGTGGTGTGTGTATATATATGTGTGTGTGTATGTGTGGTGTTTGTGTACGTGTGGTGTGCAGTGTGTATGTCTGTGTTTATGTGTGGTGTATGTGTGGAGGGTATGTGTGGTATGTGTACTTGTATGTGTGGTGTGTATGTGTGGGGTATGTGTGTGGTATGCGTGTGTTTGTGGTATGTGTAGGGTATGTGTGGTGTGTGTATATATACATATGTGTGGTGCATGTATGTGTGGTGTGTGTACGTGTGTGGTGTATGTGTGTGTGTGGATATGTGTGATATATGTACATGTGTGTATGTGTGGTGTTTGTGTATGTGTGGTGTATGTATGTGTGTATGTGTGGTGTTTGTGTATGTGTGGTGTGTGTATTTGTGAGGGTGTGTGTGTGGTGTGTGTGTGGGGTATGTGTGGTGTGTATGTGTGGAGTGTGTGTGGTGTGTGTATGTGTGGTGTGTGGGGGGTATGTGTAGTGTATGTGTGGTGTGTATGTGTGTGTGTGTGTGGTGTGTATGTGTGGGGTGCGTGTGTGTTTATATGGTGTGTGGGGGATATGTGTGGTGTGTATATATGTGTGTGTGTACGTGTGGTGCGTGCATGTGTGGGATGTGTGTGTATGTGTGCTGTATGTAAGTGTGTATGTGTGGTAGGGTGGGGGGAGGAGAGTTTGCGCCCACATATCCTCCCCTCCCTTCCCCTCCCCTCTTCCCTCCTCCTCTGCCGGGGCCACACTCACATTGCGCCTGGACAGCCTGTGGAGTGAGGGCTTCTCCAGCGACAGTTCCCCAACACTCTGGGTCCAGGCATCTGGCACTGGACATCAGGGACCTGTGAGAGAACTGGCCCAGGTTACGGAACAAAAGGTGAAGGCCCCGTGGGGGAGGAGGGAGTTCCTGGAAATGCGTTAAGCAACTCCACAGTTCCCCTTCTCCAATTCTCCGGGCTCAGCGCCACCTGCCGTCGGACTCAGGAACAGCGGGCCCTCCGCAGCTCAGGGGAAAAACGTCCAAAAACCTCGCTGGCCCTCAGAGGTCAGGGTGGGAGGGCACCGACTCAACTCTTTTTTTTTTTTTGAGACGGAGTTTCGCTGTTGTTACCCAGACTGGACTGCAATGGCACGATCTCGGCTCACCGCAACCTCCACCTTCTGGGTTCAAGCAATTCTCCTGCCTCAGCCTCCCGAGTAGCTGGGATTACAGGCACGCACCACCATGCCCAGCTAATTTTTTGTATTTTTAGTAGAGACGGGGTTTCACCATGTTGACCAGGATGGTCTCGATTTCTTGACCTCGTGATCCACCAGCTTCAGCCTCCCAAAGTTTTTTTTTTTTTTTTAATTTTATTTTAAAGAGTCATGGTTTCGCTTTGTTGCCCAGGCTGGAGTACAGTGGCTATTCACAGGAGCCATCCCGCTACTGATCAGCACGGGAGTTTTGACCTGCTCTGTTTCCGACCTGGGCGGGTTTACCCCTCCTTAGGCAACCTGGTGGTCCCGCGCTCCCGGGAGGTCACCGTATTGTTGCCTAACTTAGTGTGGACACCCAATCGGAATAGCGCACTACAGCCCAGAACTCCTGGGCTCAAGAGATCCTCCAGCCTCAGCCTCTTGAGTAGCTGGGACAACAGGCATGTGCCACCAGGCCCCGCTCAACTCTTTTGTACTATTTAACATAAATTTTTGCCATGTGTGTAGGATGGCTCCTTGTGAGTTATGGCTGCTGCCTTCAATCAGTCATGTCTCTCCCTCTTTGACCTTTCCATTCACTGACATTACCTGAGGAGCCTCTCTCCTGTGGAATTGAAGCTTGTGATCCTCGAGCTTGAGCTTTCTCTTTCTCTCCCTCTTCACCAAGTATGGGTGGGGGACCTGCGCTTAGGTGATCTTTTGAATCCTACCCCCAACCTCTGGAGGCTGCTTGTCCAGCAAGGTCAGGGCTGGGGTAGAGCCCAGGTGTCCCTCAGGCCCCAGTTCCAGCCATCATTTGAGCCCATCACTCAAGCTTCTTTAGGCAAATGCTAGAGGCCATGTTTGCTCTCACTGCTCCCCCAGGAAGGACACTCACTCATGGCTGGGTGGGAGGCCAGGAAGCCCTTGTGGAGGTGAGTGGTCCTGTCCTCAGAGGAGGCAGGTGTGTGGAAGGCCTTACGTTGTACACACACACACACACACACACACACACCTTTCAGACAAGAATGTTTGCTTCCTCCATTTTGCATGTGGTAATCTGGCTCCTCACAATTTCCGCAAGTTACAGACCTAATCAGGGTATGTTCTGGATCTTTGTTTTTTCTAGACTAGAGGGGTTCAGGAGAGCCACAGTCCATGGCTAATGAGGAGATGATAAGAGAGTGATGGCCAGGATGGCTGCAATGCCTTGAGATCAAGCCTACCCTGTCTGCCACAGCCCAACCCCAAACACACCTGGGGATGATCTCCCATATCCATCTTTTGAAGCATGGGCCCCTCTGACTAGGATTTCTTTCCTCCCCTGAGACCACTGAAACCTGCCCTTTCTTAGGATTCTTAGAGTCACCTGGAGCACCTTGGGAGCCAGATATGCAGCCAAAGAGTGAACAATGGCACCATCCCAGGACCCATGCTTTAGGAAGAAACCAGCCAAGACTGAGATCAGGACTGGGGAGTCCACCCCTCATCTCCCTTCAGAGCATTCTGTCTTTGTTTTTTTTTTTTTTTTAATCTTCCAGTTCTCTAATTTTCTCTTTGGCCGTGCCTACTCTGCTGACATCAATTGTCTTTTTAATTTCAAGTCTCTAGTTGGTTCTTTTAAAGAATTATCTATATAAAAATCTTACTTTATTGATAACATTTTGTATTTTTGTTTGAGAGAAGGAAAGAAAAAAGGAGTGAAGGAGAGGAAGAAAGAGGAAGAAAAAGAGGGAGGGTGAATGGAAATATTGCTTTATTCTAAAAAAATGGGTATTAATAATGGCCAATCAATATTTCATTTAAACCTATGAGTAGGTGTGATGTGGTATCGACAAGAATGTATATTTTGTGTATTTAAAGTGGAGAGCTCTATAAATATTTATTAAGTTTACTTGCTCCGGATCTGAGTTCGAGTCCTAGATATCCTTATTAATTTTCTGTCTCATTGAGTTTAAGTCTCTATGTATCTGGGTGTTAGGATCGTTAGCTCTTATTGTTGCATTGATCCTTTTACCACTATATCTTTGTTGCTTTAAAATCTATTTTATCAGATATGAAAATTGCAACTCCTGCTTTTTATTTATTTATTTATTTATTTTTGCTCTCCATTTGGTTGGTAAATCTTTCTCCATTCCTTTGTTTTGAGTCTTTGTGTATCCTTGCATGTGAAATGGGTCTGGATGTAGCATACTGTTGGGTTTTGGCTGTATCTTTTGATTGGGGGATTTAGTTGATTTAAATTTAGGATTACTGCCATTTGATGTTAACTGGCTGTTTTATCCATTCGTTGATGTAAATTCTTTATGTTGATGCTCTTTACTTTTTGGTATATTTTTAGAAAGGCTAATACTGGTTGTTTCTTTCTATGTGTAATGCTTCTTTCAGAAGCTCTTGTAAAGCAGGCCTGGTGGTGATAAAATCTCTGAGTACTTGCTTGCTCATAAAAGATTTTATTTTTCCTTCAGTTGTGAAGCTTAGTTTGGCTGGATATGAAATTCTGGGCTGAAAGTTCTGTTCTTTAAGGATGTTGAATATTGGCCCCCACTCTCTTCTGGCTTGTAGAGTTTCTGCTGAGAGATCTGCTGTAAGTCTGATAGGCTTGCCTTTGTGGGTAACCTGACCTTTCTCTCTGGCTGCCCTTAGTATTTTCTCCTTTGTTTCAACCCTGGTGAATCTAACGATTATTAGATTCACCTAATAATCATTAGGGGAATGCCTTGGTGTTGCTCTTCTTGAGGAATATCTTTGTGATGTTCTCTGTATTACCTGGGGTTGAATATTGTCCTGCTTTACTAGGTTAGGAAAATTTTCCTGAATAATATCCTGAAGAATATTTTCCAGCTTGGATTCATTCTCTCCATCTCATTCAGGTACACCTATCAAACGTAAATTTGGTCTTTTCACATAGTCCCACATTTCTTGGAGACTTTGCTCATTCCTTTTTTTCCTTTTTCCTCTAATCTTGTCTTTTTGTTTTATTTCATTAAATTGGACTTCGACCACTGATATCCTTTCTTCTGCTTGATCAATTCGAGTGTTTAAACCTGTGCATACTTCTCGGCTTTCCTGTATTGTATTCTTCAGTTCCATTAATTCACTTATATTCCTCTGTTAATTGTCTATTCTTATTAGGATTTCGTCAAACCTTTTTTCAAAGTTCTTAGTTTCTTTACATTGGGCTACACCATGTTCTTTTAACTCACAGAAGTTTCTTATTATCCATCTTCTGAAGCCTGATTCTGTAAATGGGATGCACTCGTTCTCCATCAAGCCTTGTTCCCTTGTTGATGAGGAACTGTGATCCTCTTTAGAGGGAGAGGCATTATGATTTTGAGTATTCTCAGCCTTTTTACGCTGGTTTCTTCCCATGATTGTAAATTTATCCACCTGTCGTCTTTGTAATTACCAACTTTCAAATTAGGTCTCCGAGTGGACGTCCAAGTTGTTAATTCCCAGGGCCGAAATATGAACAACACACTGCGCTGGCCAAAACAGCAGCGTTAAGACTGATGGTGCTTTTCTGCCCGGGAATCTTCAGTCTGGCTTCCTTCTTGAGTCCGTAATAGGCGACTCTGCCTTCCCGGAGCTCCAAACGTCAGTCAGAAGGGCAACCAGTCCCGTTTACTCTGCACCAAGAGCTGCTGCACCGAGGTGCCGGCAAAACTGCTGCGCCGGCCACAAGAGTTGCGCTGGTGATCCGTGGGGCTCCTCCACTGGGAATCTTCTGCTCCATGAGCAACAAAAATTTGTAAGTGTGGCGTCCTCTCGTTTTCTGTGCTTTCACTGGGAGCTGCAATCCTGAGATGTTAGCGATCAGCCATCTTGGGTCACATTTTTCCTGTCTTTGTTTTTTTGAGATGGAGTCTTGCTCTGTAGCCCAGGCTGGAGTGCAGTGGCACGATCTTGGCTCACTGCAACCTCTGCCTCTTGGGTCCCGGTTCAAGAAATTCTCCTGCCTCAGCCTCTGGAGTAGCTGGGATTATAGGCATGAGCCAACTATGCCCAGCTAATTTTTTTGTATTTTTAATAGAGACAGGGTTTCACCATGTTGGCCAGGCTGGTCTTGAACTCCTGACCTCGTGATCTGCCCACCTTGGCCTCTCAAAGTGCTGGGATTACAGGTGTGAGCCACTGCACCCAGCCAGAGCATTAATTCCCTGTTTGCTAAGAGGAGCAGGAAGTGGAAAACCCAGGCTAGCCCATCTGAGAAGACTTTCTTGGAGAAGAGCTGGAGGAGGGAGGAGTAAGGCTTTGGAAAGAAAATCCAGGACAGGTGGCATGACAGACTGTTCTGATTTTGCACGGGACTGAGGGGTTTCCCAGGACATGAGGCTTTCAGTTGTTTTTTTTTTTTAATTAAATAGAGATGGGGTTTCACCATGTTGGCCAGGCTGATCTCGAACTCCTGACCTCAAGTGATCCACCCACCACGGCCTCCCAAAGTGCTGGGATTACAGGCGTGAGCCACTGTGCTCGGCCTACGCTTTCAGTTTTAAAATGAGAGAAGTTCTGGGCAAGCCAGGACTGGTGGTCACCCCAAATGGATAAAGGGAAAGTACTAGAGTGAGGCTGGGTGGGAGAGAGGACAGGGAGGCAGTGACACACCTGTAGCCCCAGGTGACTGGGCAGTTCAGGCCTGGATGTGGTTCCTGTTTGGGGAATCCAGCACTCTGAGTATGAGGGCCCACCTTGGTCCCACCTAGGCGGTGTGGCTGCAGCATCAGTTGGGGTCAAGGGTAAGG